GTGTCAGGTTACATTTCACTGTGTGTTATACTTGTATAACTATGCATGTGACAAATAAAGAACCTTGAACCTTGAACCTAACATAGAGAAATATTTGCAAATTTCTTCTTTACTTCAAGTCATTATGGTTTGTAGACGTTTGTTTATTCACGCTCTCTTAAGATCCCACTGAAGCATTTCAATGTGGTTCCTGTCTGGACTTTGACTGGGCCACTGCAATACACTGAATCACTGTCCTGTTGCTTGACATCGTGTGTTGGACAGTCGGACTCAAATTTGACTATAGAATACCTGAGTTTACAGAGGAGTTTACGGTTGACTCAATCACTGCAAGGTGAACTGTGGCTGCAAAACAAGCCCAAATCATCTCCCCTCCACCACAGTGGTTGACAGCTGGTGTGAGGTGTTTGAACTAATATGTTGTGTTATGTTTTCGCTACACGACTCTTGCTGGCATTATGGCCAGACATCTCCAATTTGTCCTTGTGTGTCAAAAGGACATTGTTCCAAAAGTCTTGTGGTTTGTTTCGGTGCTACCTTGTGCTGCCATGTTTGTTTTTGAGAAAAGAGGTTTTCTCCTAACAGCCCTCATACTTTTTGAACTCTTTTCTAATTGTCTGCAATGTTGCTCTTATGTTTTTTTTGTTTGTAGCATTGCATGCTATTTACCCTCCTAAATCCTGTGGAAGACTGAACCGCTGTACCTCATTTTGATTTTGTTTTTGTTATATTAAATAATATCACAACATATTATGTCACATGTCGTTGTTCATCTGTGGTGTATTAAGGATATACTAAAGATGAGGTCTGAGTGGACTGATGTATCAACCAAACACTACACATTAAGAAGTTGGTTTTAATTTAAATCATTTTTAATTTTTTTCTTGTTTGGGTTTGTGTGTCCCCTTGGTATCATTCTTGTTAAAATGATATGAGTCTGACTCTTGTTAGTTAGTGCTGACAAAAGGAGAAGTGACTGAAGCACATGCTACTGCAAATGTATGCTTTGCACCAGGTTCTTTTTACCACAAAGCTTCAATAATACACGAATGAGTCACTGTCTCTATGCGACTTCCTGTAAAGATAGGCCATCCTGTCTCGCAGTTTCTGCCCCATTTTTTAACCTCAGTTGACATTCTACTCTTTCTGCCTTTCCTGAGTGCCTCAATCAGGCTCGATGGATACAGTCTGATTCGTCGTAATGAGTTTGGGGACCTCAAAAATGGCTGGAAATGCATTGGGAATAGTTTTCTGTCTTCTACTTCTTGCTTCTACTATTCAAGGTAATTCTGGATATCCACATGTTTTTGGGGGGTTATGATATACTGGCAAAGATTAATGTTTATCATTAGTTTTGAAATACGTTTTGGCTTCTGGTGTGACAAGCTGTGTTACTATAATCCTAAGCCTGCACCCCAGCAGACTGCAGTCTATTTTATCACCTTCAAAGTATAAGTGATTTTGTGTCCTGACTTTTGTCACTTCTAACACTATCTGATGTGTCTGACAGGGATCCAGGGTGTTGAGTTGTTCTATTATGAAAAGATGGAAGCTGTAGTGGGCCAGAATGTTTCCTTACCCTGCACTTTAATAAATGCTACTGATAACAAGATTGTCAGCATTGAATGGAGTAAGGAAACAAATAAAACTACAAAGCTGGGTTTGCACAGCCAATTTTATGGATTCCATCTATTCTGGCAAAATATTACCATCCAGATTGAGAAGAACGGTAGAGATGTACTGGGTTCCCATCTAATACTTTCTGATGTGAAGAAATCGGATGAAGGCATCTATGTTTGTGACATGGCCACCTTTCCTGATGGATCCAAAAAGGTTAAAACACAGCTAATAATCAAAGGTAAGAGAACCTAGTACACACAAAGCCATATCTAAGTACCTAAACCAGACTTTGTAGACCACCCTGGATTTAATATTTAAATAGAAATACACAACATCTTTCTATCTAATGCTGTATTGCATATATTTCACATTACTTGAGGTTGCATCAGAGCACTCAGTCTCTGCCAATCTCAGCAGCTATTTACCTCTCAGCAAATCCAAGTAAGAACGAAAAGAACACATCTAGGAGCTCTGCTAAAAGACAGTTTTCTTTTTCATATTACTTGTCTCATAACACACGACACAACACACTCTTTTGTTCAGTTGAAGGGATGTTGTGATCACAACACTGGCAGAAGACATATTACAAAATGTGCTTTTCACATCACTCAGTCGGTTGATTTTTTTTTTTATGTTTTTTGTGTGATCAACAAATCTAATTAATCTCATGCTTTCCTCAATAGATGACATTAAAATAACATGTGATGTGAATGGCACTGTTGAAGTCCAAAATGGAGAAAATGTGAACATTCGCTGCACATCATTTCCAAACGCACAGTACAGATGGACCAAGGTAAAGGAAACTTGGAATTTGAAACTGAATTTAACTCTGACTTCTTTTCAAAATAAAAGTTTTTTATGTGCTACATAATCATGCTTTGCCCCAGAATGATGAACTGTTGTCAGAGACTGAATCTCTGGAGCTCTGGTGGGTGACTGATGCTAATGCAGGGATTTATACACTGACTGTCAACACAGGAAGCAAACGTGTGCGCAAAGAGTTTGTGGTCACAGTGCTAACGACAACCACAAGTTTGAAGACAGGTGAGCGTCTTCAGTTCATTGCTGCTGTTTGCCTCTTTGTGTCATATTCAATTTCATCATTTCCCGAGGGCTGGATTAGCAATCTAGTAGAGGGCCCAAGAGACTGAATGACTTAATAAACTGCACTGGACCAGAAAGCTGATACTTGAACTTTTGTTATTATACTGTAGCTCACTCAATTTTAATTTTTAATTAGCTGAAGGGAAGGCGAGAGATTCAAAGGATTGTGATGCTGCCAGCCATGTTATGAGAATGTGGAAGGAACTAGGAATAAATTGGGAACTACTAAAACTAAAAAGAAAAAGAAACTCAATTATTTGCTTTAAATCGGTTGTCCATTGGGATTTGAAGGAATACTGAAATACACCCAGCTAAAACATAATTCAAAAGTTTAAATTTCAATACAACCAAGCAGCATGTGGTCTGCCTGCCACCACTGGTTAAATAGTTTGATGGAGTGCTGTGAGCCGGCTGTGCTCAGTTAGGAAAATAATCCCCAGTTGTCTACTTTTTCATCCTTTGTAGACGCTTCTCATGAGAATTTGAATACGTGACAAAAAAATACAAACAGTAGCCACACAGACGTCACAACTTACTTCCCGTTCTTTCATTCTATGTTTCAAACCACAAGCACAAACACACAAACACAACGCACTGCACACTATAACAGTAGCTCAACAACAGCTATGAATCGTGATATGGGGTAAGAGCACAGTCTGTTGGTCAGATTGGAGTAGTACAGCAAATGTAGAACTGAAAACGTCGAAATAGGTCACAATTTCCTGTAGCTCTGAACTAAATTTACTAGAAATGTACATTATCAAACTATGGCATCTCAGTTGTGTCTCATTGGACATCAAACCTCTCTGGGTGTATACATCAGGGTAGGCACGGTAGCATTAAAATTGACACTCAGAAGAGAAACTGTCCTAATTAAAAAGAAACACCTGTACATTGTACTATTGATATTGCAAATTCATGCCAACACCGTTACCTCATAAATCTGTGCCCAAGGCTCCAAACTCTAGATACTTGAAATATTTTAGTTGTATTGATTATGCATATTCTCCCGAATGCCAACATGAGCCATGTTTTAATGATGTATTACTCTTCATTGGGTAATTTAAAGTTTTCGTCAACTATAATTATAATCCCTACTCTTTATGCAGGTTCAATGAATAGCTTTACATTTGGGAAATACATTGAACACACAGCTCTATATCTCATATTAAATACGAGGCTCTGACCGTAAAGTTTGAGTGTTGGCGAGCAAGCAATTAAGTTTATTTCCCAATAGATTGAAGTATGTTGTAAACAGTAATGCAAGCTAGCATGATTCTAATGTGATGGACAGACTACAGATTTCTACAATATGAAGACACAACCAATCTGCACAGTACATTCTGATAACAGGATTATTTCTTCTTTCACTGTCTTGACAGTGTCACCACAGGGTTTGACTGAATCAGCAGGCATCAGCCTTACAACATCACCAACCCCCGAGCTTTCAACCCACACAGATCGGACCACCTTCATTGCTACAAATGCTCCAAACACCACAAATGTTACAATCACAGCTGATGAGCACATAACCTCTTTTACAAATTCTACACACATCTCTGTCACAGCATCCCCTACCACACACTCTCACACCCAAGATTTGCTCAATACGACTGTCCAGAGGACAACAGAATCAGGCTATCCTAGCACAATGTTGACCTCAACGCAAGAATCGGCCAGTGATGAGACGAGGAATGAGACTGAGGTACATACAGAGCAACCAGAGGGCATTTCCTCAGCAACGCCAGAAGAATACAGCACCACAGGAAACATTTTTAAAAGTCCTGAAAGACCTTCATCTGGAGATAAATATGGAGAAAATGAAAATAAGGGTAAAGTTTTAAAACCGCAGTATTTTACTTTATTTACATCTAAACATGTATTGGTACGATGTGAGAATTTTTTTATACATTGCCAGTCTGCCTCTAGCTCGTTAGTGATGCTATTAGACCATTTGGTGCATTTTCTTTGGGGACTACCAACAAAGTGAGCACTTCGGTTTGTGAATATCAAGGCAAGGTCACAGTGTTGGGGGAAAAAAATTGCTTGTAAAAAGGCAAACAGCAGATATAAATGCTCAAAAGGCAAACCTGAAAAGCCAGAGATTCTTTGCTTTCACCATCTGCATCTTCATCATATATTGCTCAGCCTCCGGCTAGAGGCCTTTCCCAGGTAGAAAACTCATTAAGAGGAGCATCTACTTCTAGGGATGCTGCATGACAAACTGAGGGGGAGGATTGTAAGACACACTTCTCTGCCTCGAGGCAGAAAGTTTCTGCGTTGTAGCTTTACATTTATTATCAGTATTTGTTGAAGTTTTGCTCGGTTTCACCAGAGCAAGACAATCAATATGTTAGAAACTGCAGCTGTTGCTGTACAAATAATCACATTTTCCCTTCTCACAATCTGCTTCTTAGATACGGCACCGATTCATCTGTTGTTGGTGGTAATCATTGTTCCGGTGCTGGTATTGATCGCCGTGGCTGGCTTTCTTTTTAGAAGACAAGTTATAAAAACCAGGTAAAACCCTTACTATCTATGCATTCAACCGTCCTCCACACCTGCACAGGGTCGTGCACTGGGTGACCTTCAATGACCTCAAAAATATTGATATCTGTCAAATTTTCCAGTAGACACACATGACCTACAATACATACCTCCACATTCAATTCAATTCAATTTTATTTATATAGCGCCAAATCACAACAAAAGTTGCCTCAATGCTTTCTGGTTTCAACTAACTGTCTAACAATGCCACAAGTCAATATTTGCACTCTGACTCTGTCTTTGTAGGCTGGATTCGCCGCCTTCGTTCAAACCCCCTCCACCTCCAGTGAAGTATACAGCAATAAGACACAGCGAGACTCTGACAGACTCTTTTCCCATTTCAAGGTGCAACTCTTTAACAGAGACTCAAATATGAATGACTCAAATTTTTGTCCTCTCTTGGTCATGTTAAGAGTTACAGAATGAGGTTTATTTTTACTCATTACAAACCAGTCACAGGAAATTTTCCAAATGTGGCTCTGTGTATATACTTTGTGAGGTTTTTTGGGGGGGTTGTTTGTTTGTTTTTGTATAAAATGCACCCAAATATATCAATAGCTGAAAATGAATGCATATTAAAGTTCATTAAACTGACTTTTAAACCGTGTTTGTGTTATTTACTTTTCTCTTGTGACATTGTTTCAAATATTGTACTGCTTACTCCATATACTACCAATTCATACACAGTGACAGAACTTTTTAAGGTGTACTTTCTATAGTTTCTTTATCTTTCAAAGGAATGCTGCTTCTGCTGTAATACTTCATTCATTAGTCTGACGAGGCATTTCCTGCCCAGAAACCCGAGGATTTTCTCTAATTTAGCTCAGTATGTTTAGTTGATGCAACAATGTTACAAATGTCTTAATATCAAAGACCCCTGTTGTCCACAGGTACCGCAGAGCGACAATCATGATCACAAAGCAGGGCTAAAACCACAAACCACATGGGCTTAATGGCTAAAAGAAACATAGCAACCACTTGATGAAAGAAAATATGAATCAGTATGGGTTTCATAAACATTAACAAGTGAAGTTCTCTGATGTTTTTTTAAATATATATTTTTAATCCTTTGAGTTAATGAATTGCTAAGTTTTAATGAGCAATTTAAATGGAACCTGCTTATATTTATTTAGCCATCGACATTTGTGTTTATCTGCCCTGCAGACACTCACGTATGTAGATGTTCTGGGAAACTTTTCACAACTGCATTTTTTTTCTTATTTTCCAACCACAACAGCTAAACCACAAAGCGCTACGTCTATACAAGATTTAAATTCTTGATATATACATAGCATACGTAACAATGGCCCCTGCATACAGCTGACAGAACACTATAAATGTGAGCTTATCGTTCAAGACCACATTGTGATTTTCACCATTTTTCGACTCTTTATTTCTTTTTTCTTTTTATTTTATTTTTTAACTCTAACGTTGAGAGCAGACCAGTCTGTGTGAAATTCTCTGCTTTCTTATTGTAGATAGTTTTTTACTGTATTTGTTTATAACTGTGACAAACAATATTAAAGTTGCTATCGTTTCTAAACAGTTGTCATGTTTATATTATAATACAGTGATCTATATGAAATTATTCTGTATCCCACTGTAGTGTTGAGACTGCGTGCCTCAGAATGAGGTTACCTCGCTTCCTGTTTGTAACTGAAGAACATTCAGTTTTCAAAGTACCGTGATACCAGCGAGGTAACAGAGGGAGAGTAAAAATAGACTACAGTGTTGCACATCTCACTGATTAAACAACGTGATGCCCTGTAACCTGAGAGCAGTCGTATCAGACAGAGAACACGTTTTCTTCAAGACGGCTGGAATATGGGTAGGATATGAAGACCTTTTAGAAATTTTAAAGTTATACATATCTGTTATCTCTCTCTCTCTCTATATATATATATATATATATATATATATATATAATATGTATATTTCACAACATTATTCATATCTCACATACGTCGTATATCGCTAAGTATAATTCTGTATAATTTGCTATTTTCCAAAATACTAGAAAAATATTTTTCTAGTTATGTTATGATTATGGCAGGACAAAAGATAAAAGTCAAAACTCCAGGCTGACTGAGTTAGTAATCATGTCTGTGTATATATGTATGTAATCGTATGGTTCTTTGTCTACAGGAGTTAAGCATGTTGTGCTTGTGGGAACATGGCAAAAGCATTTTATGTAAATTTGTCAATAATTTCTAGTTGTGAACAAAACTGAGAGGGAAAGATTACTTTTGAAAAGCAAACCTACGACGCTTCGCTTGTAGAAACACTCGAAAGCTGTATACGCTAATAACTTTAAAGTAGCCATATCAGGCTTTAAAGTATGCAAGGTCGTAGTTTTCTTAAAAATTCTCCTCTTCACCATCAGTGATTGGATTTGTCCAACAATGTTAAAGCATCTAATTGTTTTTAGAAAACATGCTAGAATCATTTCTTTTTCTCTTTGATACTGTGATGCATAGAAAGGGGGTTATAATATTAATGACAGCGCAAGCAAATAAATAGGTTTGAAATATGAACACTGAGTTCTAAAATGTGTCATTTTTCAATCTTAGTGGTCATTTTGTTTTTGTCTCTTAGTAGATATGCTAACTGTAGCCGTGGTGCTGCTATCTGTGGCCCTGTCGATCTCTTTATGCCTCAATGTGATCTTTTGCATCAAGCGAAGAACTATTTTGTGCAGAGGTAAGGTGATATGTAATCTAAATGTATTCACAGTTATTTCTAACGCACTCTTTACTTTCTGTAAATTTGCAACATATTTTATTCACACAGAAAAAAATGGATCCTGCTGCCCCCACACTTCTGAAGAAGAAACGTATGTTTTTTAATATATATTTGTTTATTTATTTATTTTGTTGGCAATGTATTATTTAGTCCAATAGACAACACTTGATTGTAAGTAACAGTAATAGATACTGGAGTATTTTCATTTTATTTTTTGATAAAAATACAATATGCAAATAGCATCACATTGTTTAAACAAACTGTCCAAATGTTCTTTCATATTTTGAAGCCTGTCACACAATGAAGGGCATTATTTTCATGACCTTAATCATCAAGAGCAGAGGGAAAATCCCCACAATCATCATGAGCAACAGGAAAATCCAATCTATGGCAACATCAGCACAGAGAGAAGAAGTGAGTGTGTCTGCTTTCTGACTCGTTTCGAAAAAAACAAGACAAAATCAGTGCGTTAGCATTAAGAAACACTTGTATACCTTAATGTATAACTGTGTATGGTTTGCTGATATATACAAAAACATTTTTGGCAAAAACAAACATGGAAAACATGTTTTAATATGGACTAAAACTTAATGGATTAACATGTGCAAATTTGCCTTAATTGTACATCCCCCCAATTGTTGACTTATAATTTAGTTGTCTTGTTATTAGCATTCCGTCCGAATGTTTAACCCTGTAAGCCAGAAAATTCTGATTTTTTGGAACTGAGATGTTTATTAGCCCTTAAAACAAAATCCACTATTTTTCTTCGCTATATCGTGTTGTGTATGATCATGTTGACGAGGTCTCAGAAACTCATGTATCAAATATGATACAAAGGGCATTGTTGTTAATAAAAGAAAACATTATTTGTGTTTTACTTCAGGTTCTGCAGAGGGTTGCTATGAGATGATGACCATGCAACGCACAAGAGAAAGTAAGAAGGTAAGTGCTGTTCATAAGTTTATTCAAATCTATCTGCAAGTGTATTTTAGTGGATTAACATATTTCTATTACATGATCCAGTAAAGACTTTGAAATACCCTAATAAGACTCTCATAAATTAATAAAAAGCTCATTTAACTCCATCTTTATTTACAGAATTTCTATTAACTGCATAACTCACAGGTTCTTTGAAGTTCCTTTGAGTTGTTACATACAGTATTCTGCACACTAATGTATGTGAATGGCACTTGTAACTTGTGTATATAGTTCTTCTGTCATTCTTACACTTCTTTCATTGATTACTTTACTTGCTGATGATGTGACTTGTGAAATATATGTTAGTCATGTAAAATTAGCGCGTCGACTGATAGCGTTTAAAAATGTGAAAGGATGACACATTATGCTTCTGTGTCGGCGCTACTCAATTAAAGAAGAAATATCAAAATAATTACTGTTTGACACAGTTAGTCGCTTACTTTTAAAACGCTCATTTGTTGAGCGCTTGTGATTGTTGAATTTGAACAAAGACTACTCATCATCTTGGCTAAATCTGTTACTGCCTGATGCTTTTAAGAGTGTACTGCTCTGAAGTAAAGAGACGCGCCAAAATTATTACAAAAGACAAGAACAAAATTGCGAAACGGAATGCAGCGCAATAAACATTTTACCTTATTTCCATAACTGAAGATACAATTGTAACCAAAAATAACAGATTAGTTGCCGTGCCCCCCTTCTACTTTCTATTTTTTGTGATGGTAGGAATTCATTTTACTTGTTTTTCACTTTGTCCTACTGCACACGGTTTGCAGTTATGATTTTGACCAAAATCGACACTAAGTTCAGTTACATCGTTTCTTTTGCAACCATTTTATAACCATTAAGGAGACTAAGATAGATATTATGACATAAAATGGACTTCAACTGTCAGTATTTCACACAGTATAATAATGTTCTGCACTGACTATCTGACTATACTCAAGAAGTCAGCTCAATCTAAAACTAAATACTTACATTTTGTGCAAAAATACAACAGTCAAATCAGTTGAACTGATGCTTACAGAAGTGCTTTCAAAACGGAAGGCAACTGACACCAGAGACTCTTTGTGGTCAATAAAGCTGTGAACCAATGAACACAATTAAGCCTGAAGCCTTCTAAAAATAAACTCGACAAACTCAAATACATGAGAACATACACAGGAGCCACTAAATAGGATGCAGAAACCGGTGCAGAGTGAAGCAAAACCTGAAATCAATTTTACAATCAATCTATTTTTGTCTGTGTTGTCTGAAACCAGCCTTTCCAGAATGACCTGAATTATGCCTCACTGGACCTGAAGACTGCAAAGAAACGAAAGAAGAAGCATCGCCATCAGCATAGCCAGTCACAGGGACGAAATCATTTCCCCGAACAGCTGTCAGTCCACCACACACCTCCTCCGAATACATTCTTGGAGGTGGATGCAGACATGGATGCTCAGCTTCCGTCCAGAGACACCAGCACCATGGTTTCACACAGCAGCATCTACCTCAACAGTCAACAAATAGCTCAACAGACGGAGGAAATGGAAAGAGAAAAGAATCTGACGCTGGAGAGGAATGTTGGTTGGAATAGTATGCGAAGGCGCGAGGATGGAGGAAATCAAGAGAGTGAAGAAATGAAAGATGAACAAGAGTGTAACAATGGGAGTTTATGTGAACAGCTTTCAGAAGTAGAAACCTTTCAGAGCTGCACAGATCCTTTCATTGGTAGCTTTAGCCAGGATGGTCACCAGCACGGTTAAACAAACATATCAAGTTTCACTGTTTCAAACTGTTTTGAACTGAAATCTATATCACCTGAAAAAGACTTTTTGGTTTTTATTTTATTTTATGTGCAAAAAACAAACTACTGTCTATTACTACAGCTGTAAAATGAAACTACGTCACCTAAAATATTCAAACTGCTTGCAGGGTTGAGCAATTTCCTCTCCGAGATAGACAAGATGAGGTCTCCTCATTGAGCAACAGAGGAAGAAAAGTGTACCTTTCATGCAGAGGGTGTAATAAATGTAAATAAAGCTAAAAGGAAACTCTTTGCGTGACATTTAGATGTCAAGGCCCGTGTGGAAATTTTTCAGTTTATTGCAAAAGATGAGGAAAACACCAAATCATCACAGGCCATGGAAGAACTCTCACTGTTTTGATGTCTCATCATCATATATTACCAGATGTCTCATAGAAAGGTGTGAAGAAATTATTTCTTACATTTGTTTTCCACGATGTGGGCGCTGGCTATGTGCTGAGAGGGAATGTTTCACTGAAAAACTCGACATGCCTCAGCATATGTGAAACCGCCTCTCGGTAATGGTAAGGGTGAAGATAACATTAACGTGACGATAACGTTTAAAAAACAGAGAAGTAAAAACAAAAAAGGGGGGGGAGCTTTAAGTGGGACATAAGTGATGACATTTTGTTTTCCCTGTGGGCACCTTGCTTTGTTGTAAATGTCATGTAGGATTTTACACATTATGGTTATGACAATGGTTGTTACTTTAGTAATCTATTGCACATATGAGCTAATTTGCCATCTGCTTAAATGATTATTTCCCTCACTGTAATCCCTTGGCAGGATAATTTACTGCCCTGCTATCTGCCGAGGGAATTGAGCTATGGAGTGAACTCAGCAGTCAGAAGCCTGCAGCCCACTCTTTGTTGACAGTTTTTCAATAGCTGACCATGGCCTACTTCCCCTCTATGGATTAAATTTTGCCCTTGGGCATTTTGGATGCAACTCTTGCAGACATATGGGAATGTCACAAAAGAAACTTTTCACGGATAACAGGCACCGTTAGTAGCTGTCATGTATGAGGACATAAAGGCAGTCATTTATACAGGATGTTTTCAAAATTATAAAGTCACGCTTCTATAAAGAATCAGTTGTAATTAGGAGCAGTTTATCATTTAAATATGGGTATTAATCTTATACTGTAGCCTATTAAGTTGATTTGCAGTGGGCATTTCCTAAGTTACTCTTTAAATAAGTATGAATTGACAACTTAGCTTTTAGATCTATCTTAATCGTGTAATTGAAAAAAGAGATAACACTTTTAATGTGTTCTGTAATCTAATATGACATGATGAGAAGCAAAAGGCAACACACTTATCTTTACATAGACAAAGGAAAATGTACTGTTTTATACTATGCTCTTAGAGTAAACATACAATCAATTACCAAAGTTTATGACTGGGTTACAGTAAAGTATTAAAGGGACATTGACAATGCAGGAAATCATTCAACTACGTAACGTCTTCATAATAATGATTTGAGTAATTAAATGATTATGCAGTCCACAAGAATGGCTCAGCCAAGCTAACGCCCATTTTGGGGACCCTGCAGAGAATCGTGCTTCACTGCTGACTTAACTTTGATCAAGCGGTAAGAAAATTTCCTTGAGGTACATTTTCAAAGGTATTTATCTGCCTTTCAGCAAGGCTCAGCAAAAATCTGCAAATTGCATGATGTGGCTGTGAGGAGATAGAAAATACAAAAGAAGATTAATTTTTTAGTTAAAAAAATTAAAATGAAAAAAAAAGTAAAGTAAAAAAAAAAAATTAGTAGTAATTAAGATATGACATTGGCTTTCAAACTCACAGTACAAATTTGTGGTTGCATAATCACAACCCCTTAACGCCTAGTGTATCGTATTTGATACATACAGTTTTTTTGTGACTTTTTAAACTGAAATGCCAGATGTAGCAAATACAATACAAATTAAACACCATATATGGAAATTAAAACGTATAATAATTTATAAACAAATTTGTCAGATGGCTCAATAAACTCTCTGTTTTCAAGAATTTGAATTTTCTGCCGATTGTTTCACAGCTCAGGCTTTAAAGGGTTAATTTCAGCCATGAAAAAGCAATGCAACAATTCTCTTTCAGCTTGTAGTCGGGCATGTGGTTTCTTTGTAAGATTGCTATCATTGTACAGTTTGCTTATGATGCCACATGTGACCTGCAGTAATTGGAACAGGTGTTATTTTTAAGTTGCTTATTTGTTTCATGTATGTGTGCGAAGAGAGCGAGAGGAGGGGGGATGAGATGAAACAAAGATTACATGACAGATATGAAATATAAAGTGGGTTACACTGCAGCTTGTGAATTGTGCATTAAATTTCTATAGTGCGTTTCGAACAACTGTTAAAGTAAGTGTGACATTCAATAGAATAGTTCAGTAGAGACAAACAGCTCACGATCCAAAGCACACCACTGAAGGTGACTGCGGGAAAGGTTAATGCTGGACATCTTAATACAGAAAAGGCAGCATTTGGTGATGTCCATGGGTTCTGGACGTCAGGTAAATGTTGACATCCATCCAAGTATTAAAAACTAGTCATAATTTTTTAAATTATGTTAGCTTGTTCAATTACAAAATACTTTTGAGCCTCTGAAAATGGGGGATTATGTATAAAAATGCATGCAATTTTAAAACAACTAACACAATACTTTTGTTAAAGCACTTACATTAAAGCTAAAAGTTCGCACCTCAATGTAATCACATCTTGATTGTTTGATTTAAAACCCACTGTGGTGATGGACAGAGGCAACATTAGCAAAAAAAAGTACTTTGTTCAAAAACCTATGGACTTAACTGTAAGTGGGTTTTTTCTAATCTGTCCCACCTCCTTGTAAAACTGCTATTAGTCATCTAAATTTATTTGGCAATGGTTACAACGGACAAAGGTTGCAATCATGGATAATCAATATTATTATGAACGCGTTATTTTTTTTTTATCTTTAATAATAATTTTGCTACTCAGACAGTTACAGGTTGAGGCCAAGTATACTGTTTTCAAAGAACATAACCTTATTTTGTATTATAAACAACAGAACTCAGATTGTAGTATTTCAACCTCATAATACACAAATGATGCTAAAATTCTAACATTTGTAACTACTGCCATATGTGATTGATAATAATCTAGGATATTATTTTCAGTACATAAAGTACTTACCAGCAGATACAATTGCACAAAGGAGTAGCAACCAGAGACCTTAAAAGAAAGAAACAAATTGAAGGGTCAGTATTTTTATGTAATAAGTGCCGCTGGAGATTTATTTTTGATTTGTTCTTTTTAAAGGATGTTAAGTTATACTATATTTTTAAGTAGCCTATTTTTTAAGTAGTGATTACTCACAAGTACTAATTTAAGTAATGAGTGCCAACCACTAGTTCTTTAGAGAGAAAAACTAAATTGTAGCAAAGTGGTTTGTTCTGAGGCAGTGAAGGGTCATATTATCCACTTGCGGCCTACCTGTAGAGACTGGCTAGCTTGTCGGCTGTTTTTCTCAAACTATGAGAGGAAGCTCGCTACGGTACAACAACTCATTTCTGTTATTATGTTTAAATAGCGTAGTTTGGTTACCACCTTGGTTACCTGCACCAACCTGAATAAACCATAAACTTAGGTCATCCACCTTTCAGACGGCAACCCAATGCTACTATGCTAGTAAAATACAGTAGCAAACAGGCAGAGAGATGATGGTAGATAGTTTACATGAAATATAAGAATGTATAACAAAAATTTAAAAAATAAAATAAAAACATCATGTTATCTTTCACTTTTTTTCTAACCAGCCGGAAATGGAAACTTTTTTTTTCACAAACTACGTAGTGAAGCCTCTAATGGGCGGAGACGATCTTCGTAACCAACATGGCAGCGTGCATGTGAATGTCATGCAGTTGTTGCGAATTATTCAGGTGCGCTTATTTCAAATGCGAATATTCCGTTGTTAAAGCCTATATGTGACTTATATCTTGTCGATTTGTACCGTCACCCAACCCAGACAATCTAAAAGTGGGATCATTTGTTCAGTACCGCAGCTGATCACCGCTCATGCTAACATATTAGCTTAGAAGTAGACAAATTTCCATGATGGATCCTGACCAACAGCTGAGAAACGTAAGTCACTTTAAGTCACTGCTTTATAACCCAATCAGCAACACGGCTGGATGATGAGTGTGAGTGTATGTTTTTCAGCTGCGGGATTTTCTTCTGGTTTACAACCGAATGACTGAAATCTGCTTCCAGCGATGCAGCAGCAACTTCAACTACAGAAACCTCACAATGGACGAGGTAGGAAAAGCGAAGATCACAGTTACTGTGTCGGCTACGTGGTGGTATTGTTTGATTGCCGTGTTCTGCGTCTCAACACGATTTCTTTCAAGTGTTTTTTCTGTCGGCTGTTCCATTTAGGGGTCGCCACAGCGGATCGTCTGCCTTCATCTCACTTTACTCCTAGCATCGTCCTCTGTCACATCAACCTTTCCCCTCCTCCACTATATCCATGAATTTTCTCTGTGGTCAATGGATTTTCCTCTTTTCTTCCTGCCTACTGTCTCAACCGTCAACAAACTTTGTCCAATATATCACCTATCTCTCCTATGCACGTCCAAACCTTCTCTACCTTACCTCTCTAACTTCGTCTCCAAATTGCCAAATCTAAGCTCTTTAATATACTCATCTCTAAATCTGTCCATCCTGGTCATGCTGCTTTATTGTATTTACAAACACATTTGATGTTGTGTAACATCTTTGACAGAGAGGACTTTGCCTGTGACCCTACTCTGTGAAAGAGAAACTTTGTAGCATTCATAGGCCCTTACTGAATTTAACCTGCAATAAAGAAGCCAGTTTTATGTTGCAGCTTGAATATTTTCAGTCCAGTCAAACCACTAAAAATAGTCCCAGCCAGGATGTGGATAACACATTTGCCTACTAATGCATATATACTGTGTGATCACAATATACTGTAGTTTTCTGCTTTCTACCTCTGACTGCTGTTTGCCTTCCAGGAGCGCTGTGTGGACAACTGTGCAGGGAAGCTCATTCGATCTAACCATCGTTTAATGGGCACCTATGTGCAGCTGATGCCTCGGATGGTCCAGCGGCGGATGGAGGAGCTGGAGAGCAAAGCTGCAGAGAATGCCAAGGAAGAGGCAGCATCTGGAGCTGCTGGGACTGAAATTTCAGCAACACATCATGCTCCCAACACCTCATCTCCACTTCCAGCTGAGCTGGATGCGTCTGTGTCCTCAGAACTCAAATTATCAGCTGCCACACCGCTCACTCCCACAAATGAAACGCTAAATGCTCCAGTGCTTGATAAAGCTGGCATTGGACCTTCATATACAGGAGGATTTTCTCAGCTTTCAGTAGCTGGTGGCCAGATTGATTCTGCCAGCTCTCCGGCACTGTTTACGTCATCTAACTCTACATACTTATCAGAAGATGCATCTAAATCAGAGAGCCTATCAGGACAAAAAGAGTCTAATAAATAGGGTATAGCTGATATCTTGTGACCAAATGTCAGCATTTTTTTTTCTTTTCCTTAGTCAGCAATAGATGAATCTAAAGTCAATTAATGACCATGAAAGGCATTACATGTTACAGGTTTGACACAGTTATCGATCAAGAGCGTTATATGAATCATTTTGATCAAAAGGCATGAGGAGGAGGAATGTCATTCATGATAGGAATTTCAATTGTGCAGTAATTTTATGGTGACTTCTTACACAGTAGGGGAAAAATTGTAAAAGGTTAACATTAAAAGGCTACCCATAAAAGGTGATGTTGTTTGCTAATGAGAGTTGTTTGACAGCATGTGTGTGTTTGTGTGCATCTGTACCTACAATTCAATTTTATTTATATAGTGCCAATTCATAACAAGAGTCGCCTCAAAGCTCTTTATATTGTAAGGTAAGTACCCGAAACTATTAGAAAGAACCACCAACTATCACGTGATCTCCTAAAAACAAGCGCTGGGTGACAGTTGGAAGGGAAAACTCTCTTTTAAAAGGAAGAAACCTCCAGCAGGATTATGCTCAGGGAGTAGCAGCTATCTGCCACGACCAATTTGGGATGAGGGGAAAGAGAAGAGAACAAAGAGAGATGGGACAAAGGACACACTACAGGAGAAAGAGTCAGAGTTTGGTTGTTACTCATGATTAAATGCAGTTGTGTGTATACACACAGGGAGTGAAAAGGACTGAGTTAAAAAAAAAGGGGGATTTCAACAATAAATGCATGATTCTAAATCAAAGCACAATCGTGCACCTGACCAATCTGGTGTTTACCCAGATGTGCTTAGCCAAGACAGATGTTTTTTGGAATTGCACAGTTTGACAGTACAGCGTGTAGTATATAGTGTAAGTTATAAAATGGTAGGATGACCCTCCCTGAAAAATGACAGCTTTTAAAATATGACAGTGACAGAACGTTACTTTTATGGTTTGAAAACATTAAAGGCCATCCCGCCTTCATCCTGTTCAGGTGTCTGAACACAGTCGGGGGAACGCCACGTGCTCTGGCTTGTGTAGCTCTGAAGGCAGTTCACGACCTTTGTCACATATCATCATCTTCCCCTCCTCCCCATCATTTCCTGTGTTTGCACAATCTGTGTTGCACACCCTCTAAATCCAGAAGGAGAGCCGCAAACAGCCAGTAACTGTGCGTTCTTATGGCTGTGAATGAAGACGTTTGGTTCCAGTTATTGATGTTGTTTGGAGAAAATGTTTTTTGCCACAATATTTCACCGCCCTGCTGCTGCAGAGAGGGAGCCAATGAGATTTACATTCCTTGTCAATAACAAGCTAGTTAAAACAGATGAGGGGATTTCACGTTGCCATAGGGAGTTATTTGTCCAAAAACACTAAGTAACTGAAGAACATAAATCTTGCTGTTTTGTTATTTTTCAAGTTATAAATTGGCAAAAAAAAGAGAAAAGGAATCTATGTAAGAACAACCAAGTTTATGACACTATGACACTTAATAGTTTTAATTTGTATACATATATAATCCTGTTGTGATGCATTAAAATGCTATGAAAATTCATAATTAGCCAACATTAATTACTGGTTTATTCTTTAATAATAATGGATTGGATTTATATAGCGCTTTTCAAGGCACCCAAAGCGCTTTACAATGCCACTATTCATTCACTCTCACATTCACACACTGGTGGAGGCAAACTACGGTTGTAGCCACGGCTGCCCTGGGGCAGACTGACAGAAGCGAGGCTGCCATATCGCGCCATCGGCCCCTCTGGCCAACACCAGTAGGGTAAAGTGTCTTGCCCAAGGACACAACGACCAGGACAGAGAGCCCAGGGATCGAACCGGCGACCTTCCGGTTACATATGCGCTTCCTAACCCCCTGACCCCCTGAGCCACATTCTTCAACACAGTTTGAACTCTCTTAGATAAGTTTTCTTGTAATTTCTTTAAGTAGTCTTCAGTTCTTTAGGCTTTTTGAAGGACATTCAAAGCTCTTCTTTGGCTGTTGGGTGCCTTTGATTCCATTCTCTGTCAACATGATCTCAAACTGCTTCCTAATGTTGAGGTCCGACCTCTGGGGAGGCCAATCCATGACTGATAGTGTGGCCTTTTCACCCGTGTTTCTTTCAGATACTGTTAATCTGCTGTAGATAGTTTTTTAGTCCTGCCACCTGCCATCACCAGTAGGCGGTAGGTGAAGTGACTTGCCCAAGGACAGAACGACCAAAACAGACAGAGCTGGGGATCGAACCGGCAACCTTCTGGTTACAAGATGAGCTTCAGCAGACCTCAGAACATCTAAATACCCTGCTTGCTTTTGCATGGTTGCGTTGCCTCCAGCAGGGAGCGCTGGTGCTTCGGTGTCCCGGGATATGGTTGCCAGTAGCGGACACCTCCTCGAACTTCTCTCCAGCAGTAGCCCACATCAGCTCTGAGGAGCGGGGCGTGGACTCGGAGCGACCATTCCCTGCTCTTAAATTTGAGGAGACGGCAGACTTTCGCGGGGGAAAAAGAAACCAACAAGAAATCGATCGCTCACCAGCTGGTAAAAGGTTTGAAAACTTTTTTTCTATACAGTTCATACTTTTCCTAAACATACAACAAACCCGAGAAGCTTCGTTGTTGACTGAACTTGAACATTTTTTTACAGTAGTTTTCAAAGTGATCCAATAGGCCAGCCCATCCGATACAACGGAGGCAGATGAAGCCAAGAGGAAACGTGGGGGCTTTATATTCTGCTGGCTTCTGGATATTTTTGCAGCAAAAATAGTGAATTTAACATTTTGATCATTTTTAAGGCGCCCACGGACCTTAAAACTAGTCAGCCATCAGAATAGCGCTGATAGCAATCTAGATTCAAAAGTGAGTGATGTCTGATAATGTGCTGGAAGGTGTGCAAAGCTTTTAAGTGTGAGGGGGTGAAAACCTATTAAAACCTCTTACAGGCTCTGTGATCCTGAGCTTAAACCAGGCGGAACCTGCAGCATACCCATGGATGACATCTTCACACAGTGCAGAGAGGGCAACTCTGTGGCTGTTCGTCTGTGGCTGGACAACACGGAGAATGACCTCAACCTGGGGTAAGCAGATAACTGTGCACACTCATTCAAACAGACAAGGCTTTGAAGAGGACTGCTGCTGGACTTTCTGCTGAATCCAGCTGTGATGTTGAAGCCTGTGCAACGAGACCTGGACTTTTAAAGAATTTGTATTAAAAGCAAATGATTCTTT